CCCGCACTCAACCAGAGCGCAAGGTCGCCGACACAGCTCCTCCACTCGCAGCTCCCCACCAGTCCTTCGCCGCCACAAGGCCTGGTGCGCTCTGTCTGGCCAGCGTTGTCACAGTAGCAATCTTGCTATGAACCTGCGGTGTTGCAGCAATTGCGTGATGTCTACATATAAATGTAATATATATATATATATATATATATACAGCGTACAGCCGTACAGCCGCAGTCTGGCTGCAGTCTGGGGTCTGGCTGCAGTCTGGGGTCTGGCTGCAGTCTAGCTGCATTTTCACCCTTGTCAGCAGAAGTAGTCGTAGAAGGACACGCGTCGTGTCACTCTCGTGTCGTGTCACTCTCGTGTCCCTGCAGAGTACCTGCAGTGCCGCGCCATGTTCACGAGCGTGAGTAGCTGCAGCTGCCGCAGGTGCTAGCTTGCAGCACAACGCCGAAGTTGAGCTGCACTGCTGATGTTTCATAGGCGCGATGTGGCTGCAGAAACGGGTGTGGAATAAGCGAGACTGTAGCTGAAGCCTGCTCAAGCGGCTTTAGTCGAAACATAGCTGTGGCGTGGATATAGAGCTTCTTCATTGTGGTTGCGGTCAATTGCAGTTGCTATGCATGGAGCATTGCTTATTGATCTACCAAAGCTACAATCGCATACGGGTCCTTTTCGGACTTCGTTTGCAGATGGTGCAATCGACAAATAGAGCGAAGCCACAACTGCAACCAACCCAGCTACGGATGCAGCTGTGATGTGCGACACTTTTGGGGGGCGTCCCCAAATGGGGATGTTTGTTTGATGTGAAACCCAACACAAGCCATCCCGCTTCCACGATGGGACACACAAATTTACAGCTTGCCTTAACGTCGGGGCCGGCGGTGACAGGTGCAACTAGACTAGGCACAGCTGCACGGCCAAACATCTCCAGGCAATAGCAACGGCTGCAGACTTGCTGCTGTAGCTGGCCATTTTTGTAGCTCCAGCTGAGTAGCGACAAATGTGGCTGAACCTATCGTCATGCGCTTGGGGAAACCAGTGCGAAGAGGCTTGGGGAAACCGGTGCGAAGGGGAAGGGCAGGATGAAGGATTGCTTTGACCAGTCTGGATAGATGTCGCTAAAGTAGCTGCAATAGCTGCAGTAGTGATGGTCTTTGTGGCAGCTGTAGTAAACCCAGTGAGTGACGTACGTGGGTTAGCTGCACTAGCTGCAGCAGTTGTGGTAGCAGTGGTAGTTCCAACTGCCACAGTAAGTAGCCTTAGTAGCTATGGGAGCTGTAGCTTGTCTGGCTGTGGGCACTTTTGCCGCCTTGGTATATAGCTCATGAGTGAGCGGAAATGGAAGCAATAGCATGTGAAGCTGTAGCTGCGATGACGAAACTCTGGCTGTGTCCCAGTTTAGTGGGTTCTTCTCTTGAAGGAACACCCCCAAAAAAAAACAAGAAAGAAGGAAAAAGAAGTTGGGGCTCAATAATTGAAACTAACTCCGACGTCTAGCCCTGCATTCACGGAAGCAAACATCCCATGTTCGTTTGACTCCTGGCGTCCGGTACTGTGGATGGCCACGGTCCTGCACCACGACGTGGTTTATCTCAGCATGAATAAGATTTCATCCCAAGATCAACTTGGATCTAGTTGGCGGTTCAGCGTTTGGGATAAAACTCAAAGGCTAAGGTTTATGGTTCATGCGGGGTGCATTCATAGCAACAAGTGACACACATTTGGGAGAAAGCTGGTCATCAAGCTATGTTTGTTTCAAATTTGCATGTTAATTTTTGTGTTCCCGTGGAACCCCCGAAACCCAGAATAGCAAACCACCAATCCAAACCACGGATCAAATGCAACCTGACAAGAGGACTTTGTCCATCCACAGCAAGGGAACAAACCCACCCTCTGCTAAACCGCCTGCAGGGATTCCACGAAGGCGCCCATGCCGAATCGGGGCACGGGGTAGCCCGCCTGAATCACTGAACGGTCCCCGCATTGGGCACAGCTGCGGCGTCCGCTTATATTGAAAAACAGATTCCCAGATCCCCACTGGCCGGACCATGAGGAAAGTCACCCGTTGCTTCGGTTCTTGACTTTAAGGGGAAATCCCCTCCAAAGAAGTTGAACAAATGTCACCACTGAGTGTCTGTTTTTGTTTGCTCAATAAGCTCTGAGTAGCCCTACCGCAAGCACCTGATGGTCGAAATGTGTGTTTGCGCTTGCGTGGAAGCGGTGATCGGGAGAGGCCTTTCAAGCCCAAGAAGTATCCCCACCTCGAAGTGCCTCGAAGTGCAATTGAAACACTTTGAGCTGAAGCAATACTTGGACGCGCCTTAGCTCCGTAAGGTTGCAAGCAGCCCCGAAGCCTTTGCTACTGAATGCTTGGTCAGCAGAAAGCTGATCTTGGTGGCTAGTGACAACGTGCCGTGGACAGCTACAATGAATGTCATTTATTCACGGGAATTTGTTGCACTCTTTCATTATCAACTTACATATCTTTCACTATGAGAATCCCGTTGTGTGGCAGCTGTTAAACGGGCCAGAATTCATTGGTGTGGATTGGCCCCTTCTAAGTTTTGCCGCATTCAGTTTGTGGAAACTCAGGTGGTTTCTTGATGAGCTGGGTTGATTGGCTGCAGCAAATGCAGAAGGCTTCAAAACGTCCGTATTGACACTCATGCGACATGTCAGCGTTGCCGGTATCACCCAACCCCACGAGGCTTCATGATGAGTTTCAGGCAATTCCCTTGATCTGTGGCTTACTGCCGCAAAGTTGCACGGCACCACAGCGAGAGGGATTCAACACCACAATCCACACAGAGGGGGTTCATCCGTGCTTGCGAAAAATCAGCTCTGCCCCGGCTTCATTCCAAGTAGAAATTGAGACTCAAGTGAATAAGTTTGCATTATCTCGTTCATGTCTATCTTGTTCGTATCTATCTTGCAAAAGTATATCGTGCTCGAGCATATCTTGTTCAAGCATATCGCTTCAAACGCAGATTGCTCAAGTATATCTTGCTCAAGGTCATGCTCATGTAAATCTCCTGTATAGGCAGAAGAGCCCTTCACATTGCTGCGCATGCTTTCGAGACAAGTGAGTACCTTGGCCCAACCCATCCCCAACTCCCCCCCTCCCACAGCCCCCCCCCCCCCCACCACAGCCTCCACCTTCCCAAGCATCCCAACCCAAACTCACCCAAACTCACCCTAACTCCCCCCTAACTCACCCTAACTCACCCTAACTCACCCTAACTCACCCTAACTCACCCCCATCCCCGACCTGCCACAGGAAGTCAGGGTTGGAGACCCACAGCTCCGCCGCCTGAGAAGCTCCAGAGCCCAGCGGCAAGCCCCCCGCCAGCACGTCCGATAGCACCTGAGGAGTGGATGGGGTGCATGGGGCGCATGGGGCACCGAAAATGCCACCTGCCACATGTGCGTACATGTATATGCAGTCATTTATACAAGTCAATGTAGTGCATATTGTACATGTATATATATATATATATATATATAATCTGCGCACACGCACACACGTGTACACACATGCGCAAAACATGTACGAAAGCAATATACGTATACATGTGTATATATATATATATGTGTATACATATTGTACGTACGTATGGTAAATCAATCTATCTCTGTGTGTCTCTGTGTGGGTGTTTGCACGCGTTACAATGCCATTCAAAGATAGAAGTCGATGCACATATATATATATACATGTATAGATGTGTCTATCTTTATACATATGTTTGTATGGCTCATACATATAGTGTCGCACAAGCGACTGACTGGGAATGTTTGCCCTTTTCGGCTCATTGCCCTTAGCAGCAAAGTGAGCGTGCATTGGACGAAGCGTTTTGCCTAAAGGCGAATTTAGAGGACGAGAAGCGGCAAACTGTCAGCACGCGCCTGAAAATGGCGAGTGACAGGAATTGTGCTTGCGATTCGGCTTTAACAAGTAGAACGCACACACACTCACAAACACACACACACACACACCCACCCACCCACCCACCCACCCACCCACCCACCCACCCACCACCCACCCACCCACGCACGCACGCACGCACGCACGCACGCACGCACGCACGCACGCACGCACGCACGCACGCACGCACGCACGCACGCACGCACGCACGCACGCACGCACGCACACACACATACGCACCGACACACACACACACACACACACACACACACACTTGATATGAGACGGCAAAACTGACAATGTGCACCCCCGAGCAACTGGAAGGTGAGAAGTGGAGTTTCGTCAGCTTACCTTCCCGATCTGTTCGCTCACCGCGGCTACTCGTCAGTGCCCATGACTACCGCGACGAGGTACTAAGAAAGGGGGTCGGTTTGCTGGCATGGGCAGACTCCAAGCACAAAAGAACAGCGGAAACCCCTTAGGAACAGGGGGGCCACACACACACCCCCCGCAGGGGGAAAAAACCGAAACGCCTGAAAGCCGCCTCCATCATGATTCCCGATGGGTGATTTGGTCTGTTTGCGGAACTCCTGCCTATGCTCAATTGCTCGCGGTCATTTTGACATGTAGCATCACCGTCTGGGCTCAGGTGCATTGGTTCGAAATGGTTGCTTTCTGATGCTGCTCCTTCAGCTTTCTGAGACGCTCCAGGCTCCTCCAGCGCTGCGTGACATCCGCGATGGAGTGGTTGAGCTTCTTGGCCAGCGATTTGTACGAGTACTTGGACCGGTTGTCCGCTTTCAGGCTGCAGAGCTGCTGGTCATCTTCCTCTGTCCAGGCGCGAGGTACTTCCGGGGGAGTTCCTGGATTGCCGGCATCGGAGTGAGCACGAGCAGGAGCTTCAGGAAGGGATTCAGGAGAGGAGAACAGGCCCGCGCAAGGAGAGACCGGAGCTGGCGCTGGAGTGCGAGGTACTGGACGTGCTGGAGGTTCCGGGGAGTGCGTCTTCTCGGAGGATGTAGCACGGCATCGCTTCCGCTTTGTTCTGCGTCGATCGGTCCCACCCTTGTCCATGATGGAGCTGGGAATATTGGCCTTCTTGATGCTCGGCTGACCAGCATGGGTGTGCGCCATGGAGCTCTTCGGGCGCGGGTCTATAGCCTCGTTGGCATCCCCCGTGATGATGCCGTAGGACAACGACTTGGGGTTAGCCACTGCGTTGTGCTGGTGGTCCACGTGTAGCTGGAGTGACTGAAAGTCGACTGGTGGTGGAGGGTCGGCCAGATCCTCCGAGTTGACCGAATGCCGAATCCCGGGGCCAGGTGGTTCCACCTCATCGAGTCCAGCATGGTCGTGTGCTCGCGGTCGCGATGATTCTGCCAGCGACAGACCTCGGACATGTTGCTGCCGCACGCAATCGTGCCCGCCATGAAGCCTGCGACTGTGTGCCTCGTCAGCCTGATTCAGAGTCTCCTGGATGAGCTGCATCATGTCCGCAGCGTTCTGGGTCATCCGGTGGTGAAGTGCTATCATGCGTCCGAGCATGACGACCGCTTTCCGATGTCGGCGAGAAGGCCCGCGTCTTGAACCACCAGACAAGCTCCGTGATGAACCCAAGAGTCAAGGGACCCCCGGAACCCAAACAGAAAAACCGAGCGCAACAGCCCAACCGAGCCAGACCCGGTTTGGAAGAAGACCGAACAGAACAGAACCAACAAGAGCCACACAGTCAAACATCGAAAAACAACGACAATCAGCACGTAAACGTTCTTTCCGGTTGGGATGGCCGGAAGATGAAACAGGTGCTGCAGGTCAGCTGACTTGTAGCCGGCGGACAAATAGATACTGCGGAGCTGATCCAACGCCATCTGTACTGCTCGGGCCGGATGCGCATACTTGGTAGCGAGGGCTGACCGTGATCTAGCCCCGGAGAGAAGGGTGGAAAGACTTCCTGCAGTGTGGGGTCCTCTGATCTGCCAGATTTTTGTTGGGATTTTGTAGTAAATCGCACGGTCGCCCACGTCGATGACGAAGCCGAGGAACTCAGAGGAACCCACCTGTTCCAACACGATGGGTGCACCATAAAAGTCAGCGTGAAGCAAAGCCTCCAATGGGGCTGCTGGGTGACCGGAAGCCGGAGACGGGAAGATCACAAATCTGTTGTCGACATATCGCTCCAAGAAGATGTTGTGACTGGCGAACCATTGTCCGTAAATACGCTGCCAAAGAACTTCGTGCCTCGCGACGCAAATGTGACTGAGAACTGGGCTCAGCTGAGAGCCAATCGCTGTTCCGTGGACTTGGCGAAGAATGAGAGTCCCCACCTGGACGTACATGCATTGGAAGCTGGATTTGACTATATCCAGAATGTCCTCCACATAAATGACCCGCGTAGTCGGCGTGCGTCCGTAGGATTGCTTACCCGCAAAAACCCGGTTGTAGTGGACCGCCGCCTGAGTTTCCACCGAATAGATGAGACCAGGATGCTCTCGCCGGTGCTCTGCTAATAGCTGCTCAACTGCTGCGCACACCTGATCCTGAGGGACACTGTTGAAGAAGCCGACCAAATCGTCATTGTGAAATGCGAGAGTGACTGTATCGTCTGTGTTGTCAAAGTATTGTTTGACGTTCTGCCATATCCTCGGCGTGGGGTGTACCCCCCACGAACACTTCCATGTACTCGCGGCGATCTCGCCGAGAAGGATTGCAACCGCCTTAAAGAGCTGCCGATGTACCACCTTATGGTAGGCTATAATAGTTCGCCCCGATTTCCATTGCTTCTTGCGTTTGAGAAAGACTTTTCCAACCGGGATCGCGGTGGTCTTCTTCCTGTATGCCCATTTGTACCTCTTCTGCAGGTGTCGGGGGATAGCTTCAACAATAAGAGCCTCGGCTTGGTCGGGCTTCAGCGGAGTGGCGGCAAATGTGCCGGACTGAAGCCAGGTGTTGTGGAGGCCTTTGAAGTAGAGTTGGGGGCAGAAGAACATGAGGTGGTGGTTGTCATGATCCTCGTTATGGCACACAAAGTCCTGGCCGAGTGCGTGGAACTGGTCCAGGGGCAGACCATGGTGCAAGCACCATTTTCGTAGGCGTTCATGAACCTGCACTTCGTAGACTGAAAGGTCCACATAATATGACGCCAGGGCTGAGGTGTAATGAACGTGCTGTGGGGTTCCCGGAAACCGGAACTCATCCAATCCCGCGGCCACATGGCCTTGAACATGAGATAGCCAGGGCTGTCGTTTTAGCCAGGCTGCGCACTGACACGATGATGGTCCAGCGGATGTCAGAAGGTAGCAGTCCTGAAACGACGAGAAGTTCCACATAACTGTATGAACCCGAGGATGAGGGGTCTCCGCCAACTTCGTGCTGGGCAAGTGAAATGGAAGACTCCAGTTGCGGTGGTCGAGAACAAGCCGACGAAGGACCTCCCTGGTGGACCGCTGATAATGGGGATGGGACAGCCACGGTAATCGCAACAACAAGTTGATCTTGGGTTGCTGAAGTTGGCGGAAATCAAGAACTCTTCGCAAAATATTCCGAACTCGATGCCGGTGGGGCTGTTCCACATTGCCTGACAGCCTGTATATAGCATATATATCCAAGTCTGAATGCCGTCCACTACGAAGTCGTTTTTCTTCCTCCCAGGATTCAATGTGCTCCGAGGTGAGGCGAGCGATGATGGACCAGGCTTGGGTGTGTTTGAGCGCCACCCGATGGAAGTTCCTGCCATAGACTGTGCAACTCCTCCTGCGCAAGCGGAGGAAAAGGCGTTTGCCGAACCTGGACCAGGGCTGTTCTGCAAGAAACCTGGTAGCCGTATAGCCGGTGGAAATGCGCTTGTACCGCCGATAAATGTAGGGCCAATTGAGGGACGGCTGATAGATGCTAATCAAGGCGTGTTCCTGGGTCCAGGTGACTGGCGTGGTCGGAGTCTGTCAGGATGACCCATGTAGCAAACTCGTCATAGTTGCCGAAGTGATGCCACCATCTGAGGGCCGGCTCCGCATTGATAAACTGTCCGTGCTGAATACCCAGTAACTTGGCCCTACGATTGTGTTCTCGACTAGGATAAGTGATGCTGGTGCTTCCAATGTATACGTCCGACTGCGGGTTGACGGAGCGTGGAAGGTCCGGGCGGAGTTCGACTCGCTGCTTCCAGTACACTGCGTTGGGCTGCAAGAAGTGGGTGAATGTGTACATGTTCGGGTGGATGCGCAAACGCCGGAGTCGGCGTCTAAGCTCCGTGAGTGCGTGCGTGGGACGACCATAGTGATGAACCATCAACAGCGTGGACATTGACTCGGACCACATAGATAGTTGCTTGTTGACCATCGGCATGTTGAGGATTTGGCGACTCGTGACGATGATCAGATAGAGAACCTGATAATACTGGTGGGCTGCATGCACATCGAGGGAGTCCCCGAGTCTGATTGCAATAAGCGCAACGATGTAGGGAAGGAAATAATCGGTGCCATGCTGCAAGCTCACTGGCCAAGACGGCTCGGGAATACCATAGTGTCTGGCTGCACTGTAAAGCTCTGACCGTTCATACTTGCTGTAGAGTTGCAAAAGAAGAACCGTTTCCGGAGATTGAATGACCGGCATGGCTTAGCCATGCATCCAACGCTCGAGCACTGAACGGTTAATTGGGTCAACCGGAAAGATCGGAAAAACCCCAACCCCCGACCCCGAGAAACACAGGAAAACGAAAAAGAAGGAGAAAAGGCAGCTGATGGTCTCAGGGCAAGGTGCAGGCGTGATGAGCAGCGGGCTTTTCGTGCCAGTCGCGTCGATGGTGCTAACTTCCCTCCTCGTGAGCGCTACCGCCGCTCCCCTCACTTGCCATACATGTACATAACCGTGATGAACTGCAGGAGTGCTCGCTTCGATCCCTTGCTCACTAAGGAGATGGGGGCCCCCCATTTGACTGCAATGGTTTTCAACTGCTCCACTGTGTCGGACGCCAGCTCCTGCTTGATGAGATCAAGGTAGGTCGCTTGGTTGGACAGCGTGCGTTCGTGTAGCCATGCCTTGAAGACCTTGTCCGTGAGGCTGGTGGGAAGTGGTACCTGTTGACCTTTGGGGTTTCCTTGACGTAGAAGTTCTGAGTCTAGAGTGATATCCGGGGCAGCCTCCGGGGTCTTTCTCTTTGCCGGTCGTCGCTTAGGGGCTGGATCAGCCTCTGGAGATGGAACTGGTAGGGGAGGTCCTTGCGGATCTGAGTTGGCCGCATTGATGTAGAGGGACTGGTCAGAGCAGCCGGGCGTGGGGGTCCAGGACGTGGCATTGGAAGGGGACGAGGATGGCAGCTTCTTATCCGGTGTAAGAGTGATGCCCTTGTTCTTGTAGCGCTCCAGCTGTTGTTCCAATTCGGCAATTTTGTGGCGAGTGAGGTTCTCCTGCTTGGCGGGCTGCAAGGACTCCATGAGATCCACGATTTTGAGCGCAAGTGGCTCCATAAACTGCATAGCCTCATTGCGCTTATCCGGCGCATTGTCCGCGTGGAGAGAGCGAGCTGTCCTGTCGATGTCGACCTCCCTGCCTCTCAATGCTTTGAGAATGGATGTCAATAAGACTGCCTCGGCTATCGTCTGAGCCATGATTGGTGTGCTGTATCGCCCATTTGACAGTGCTCGTAATGCGTGATCTTCTGCTCCTCCTCGAAGAAGTCGTGTCAGTGGAAGATCCAGGATAGCTGTTCCTGCGAGCCCGACCCTTCTGGACCACTGAGTAGGCTGAACGTGACGGTACAGCTGCAGACCACGGACCTCCGTCTTGTCGAGGAAGATGTCGTCAGATTGGAAAGTGCTGGGGAGTAGCTGCGAGTATCGAGGCTGAGTGTACTGCGTTGCATCACCTTGGCCTAGAGGTGCCCGAACTGGAGGTTGAACTGGCGGTGCTGGTGGTGGAGGACGAGGACCTGTCTGCATGTGGTTTGTTCCACCACCGTGATAGTTGTAAAACTGACCGGGAGGTTGAGGAGGGAACTGGTGAGCCATCTGTGGGGGCCGAGGGGGATTGACGCGAGACGTTGCTTCCTCTCGAGGTTGATGTTGCAAGGGTTCCATCCGATTGGAGCTCAGATATACCTCCTGCTGGGACTGTGGAACTGACCATGACGGAAGATACGAGGATCCCGGATGCGAAGAGGAGGAGGGCGCCGATGCCGCCGGCCATGAATAGTTCCACTGAGAAGCCATCACGAGATGGGAGTTTGCCGTCAACACTGCTAATGGGTTAAAAGCTAGGGGTACGCCACACATTGCCGAGACAGCATACATTGCCAAAACGACACCCGAATTTCAACCGGGCTCGGGGCAGTTTGAAACCGGGAAACTGCATTAGTCACACGAAGCATCAAAAAGGAAAAACCCGCAGTAAGGTCAACACATACTTGAATGAGGCTCTGGCGTGCACTTTTTGTCGCAAAATATCGTCGGTGGTCGAAGACGGCAGTGTGGCGAAGTATGCTCTTATTCGCAATGAAACATCATTAATTGTCATTGGTTACAGCAGCTCCTGGTGCAGGTTCACGAGCGGAGGACACCAGTGGGTGGCTTTGTATCGGTAGGCCATGCGAGTCCAACGATCTGACTTGCCTCCGGGATCACCATCCAACACTTGCCCGACACATAGTGGATGACATCAGGACGCTCACTGGAGTCCAGGGCCTCAATGCAAGCTTGCTCTCCTCCCGATCGAATCGGTTGACAGGTGCCAACAGCGCGTCCAAACAACAGCAATTGGGCCATGTTAAAAGACATGCTCCAGTTCTGGCTCATCGTGCGAGCGATTTCTTCAGCGTCGTAGTCGGCGTGTCCAGTGATCTTCCAGCCCTGGGCGTAAAAGGCTGGGCACTCCGAGGAGTGCTGCCGGGAAGGATGGATCTGTCGGCTCCGCAGGATGCCTCGAGTACCGCCGACACTGGAAGCGTGAGTCCAGAGCAGCATGGGTCGCGTCTTCGTCGGTTCTTTGAGTCGAACTGTGGCCCCAAGGTAAGGGACGGTCAGCATGAACCAGTGCGGGGTGATCTTATAAAAGTGATGTTCCGGGTTGACCTTCGCATAGTTCAGAGTGGAGTGCTGAGACGGTATGCCAGCTGCATTCAAGGTAGCGGCCACATAGTCCATCTGCTCCTGATTGACTGGGATCCCATCACGGAGATATGGTGCGGCAAGCACCTGAAGTTCGTTCCTCCAGGGATCAGACTCCGGGTTGGGAAGCAGGATCAGCGGTGGATGCGCCTGCGGATTTGGGCGTAGTTGCATGCTCCTCGAGGACGACCCCACATCTGGGTGAGCACCTGTGGCCTTGGAGGCTGGAGCCGATGGGGCACTGCTTCTGCTACGCGGAAGTGGAGATCGATTGCTTCTCGGTCGTCGGGATGAAACTTTAGTTCCGTAGGCGCCCGGGATGAGGACTTGGCTGCTGTGGGCGCCGACGCGGCAATATCCGATGCTGCCGTGATGGAGTTGTCCGATGTTGAGTCCCTTCGGGAGATCGGTGGTGGCGTCCTGGAGCGAGCTCGACCTCGCCGCTGTGGGGGCACTGACTTGGAGTAGGGGGAAGCGTTGTGGGAACGTGACCGGTCTCCCTCCGTTGTGTGGCGTGACCTGGATGGTGGGTTGGGCGGTGGAAGCATCTGACCTGATGGGGTTGCCGTAGGGATCGGTGCGATAAGGGTCGGTGCTGTGGTCATGGGTGGGCATGCTGTAGTTGAAACTGTCGGGGTAGTTGGCGTCATTGGAGTCATTGGAGCCATCGGTGTGGCCGGGCGTGCTTTCACCAGGATTTGCGGCAGGGGGCCAGCTACTGATGCAGGCCAGACCTGCAAAGTAGGGATCGATGCCGAGGCGTCGCCGGGAGCAGGAGCCGGAACCGCAGGTTTAGTAGCCCTTGAGGTGCTGGACACCGCGCAAGATATGCTAGAAGCTGGTGTCACAAGCGCACTCCTGCTCGGTGATGCTGTCTGGTGCACTGGAGACCTGGGCGGCGTAGGGCCGGCAGTGTTCCTGGATGCCTTGGTCATGGGGCCTGCCGAGTTCGACATCGGACCTGCGTGGGGGCGAGACATCTATTGCCAACAATTGCGAGCCAAGAGCAAGCTGACGGCGTCGTGATTTCTCACCTGATGTATCGGGTAGTCTGGTGGGTTGTCAAACAGTTGGTCCGACAGAAAAGGTTCACGGAAACAGTCTGGGGTGCCAGAAGGTCTGGGAGAAGTCCAAGCCTGTATTGAGAAGATCAGCTGGAACAGTCAAGCGTCACGAGCGACAAGGTCCGGTAACTGTCTGTAGAAAATGTCAGTGCATGAGTCGGAACAGATGCCCACAACAGGGATCAAGACACTGACCGAAGCCCGGACGCAGTGCCTAACCACACTTGATATGAGACGGCAAAACTGACAATGTGCACCCCCGAGCAACTGGAAGGTGAGAAGTGGAGTTTCGTCAGCTTACCTTCCCGATCTGTTCGCTCACCGCGGCTACTCGTCAGTGCCCATGACTACCGCGACGAGGTACTAAGAAAGGGGGTCGGTTTGCTGGCATGGGCAGACTCCAAGCACAAAAGAACAGCGGAAACCCCTTAGGAACAGGGGGGCCACACACACACACAAACACACACACAGACACACAGACACACACACACACACACACCACCGCAACGACACGCCCGCACGCCCGCACGCCACACGCACAGCACACGCACGAGCCGCACGGCACGCAGGCACAGCAGGCACGCTCGCAGCAACCAGCACGCCACGCAGGCGGCAGGCGCGCAGGCGCGCAGGGCGCGCAGGCGCAGCGCGCAGGCGCGCAGGCGCAGGCAGGCAGGCCCGCAGGCCCGCAGGCGCGCATGCGCACAGGCGCGCAGGCGCGCAGGCAGGCAGGCGCGCAGGCGCGCAGGCAGGCAGGCGCGCAGGCGCGCAGGCGCGCAGGCAGGCAGGCGCGCAGGCAGGCAGGCAGGCAGGCAGGCAGGCAGGCAGGCAGGCAGGCACGCACGCACGCACGCACGCACGCACGCTCGCACGCATGGCTTTGTGAACAGTAGGTATTCCTCATTAGTTCATGTGAATGAGCGACAATTCCCTCATAGCCATAGTGCCCGGATGTTCCAAAGGTGTCCCTAGGCAATCGAGTCAAAGGCAACATGAAACCACGGGCATCGCCTGCAGCTCCATGCCCCAGTTCTCTGGCTCGTAGAAGATCAGCACGGCCTCGCATGCATTTCCCCCCAAAATCCCCCCCTCCCCGGCTCCGGCTTTTTCAGTAGCCGTGTCTCAGTAGAAACCCCCCCGGGGCCATGGAAAGACGAAGCCCTTTGTTGGGGCGAGACTTAGGGTTGCCAAGCCCCAAAATGACACACCCGGGTGTTCTTTGACTTTGTTGGTGGTTTTGCAAGGAACCCTGGACCCTGAGCAACCTCAAGGAACCCTAGGCCTCCCCACCTTTTGAATCCCACAAAATGGTGTCTGGTCAGTGTCCTTTGGCGGAATCCGCAAGCTCCGCCTCGATGGGCGGACCTGCAGCATGCACCTCAGTGCCAGGAGTAACCAACGAAGGCAAACCGTGGAAGGCAAACCAATCAACTGGAGGGATCCATTGGCTTTTGAAATTTTGACTGTTCCCTTGCTACGAAGACCTCCGTGGGACCGCTCGTTAAATCAGCAGTCTGGTGGCCTTGGCATGCTTCCGGCAGAAAATGCAGCGACATGCCGCCATCCACTTGCAACTGCTTCAAATTCCGCCCTGCAGTTTGCATCAAAGGGCCTGCGGTGGGTTCAGGACCTTCCAGCACTTTCACTTGAGAAAAATCACACTTTGCTCTTTAGACTAAGCTTCATTCCAGGAATGTTCCGGCAACAAAGCTGAAGCCGGGCATGAGGATCCCAGGCTTCCATTTGGAAATAGAGAGAGGCAGAACAGTGAGTCAGGACTCGCCTGTTGAACATATGTGATACAAAAGACGAATGGCTTAGTCACAGCGCTCAAAAGCCGCAAGCTGGTTACTTTGCCCTTCGGTTGATTAATGGCCAGTGTTGCTCCAGAAACCATGTCAGGGTGCATCCGTTTTAAGGATGCACCCCAACAATGCTCCGCCCTTTAGGTTTGGTCATCCTTTGAAGGCTAGCAACCCCGTTGGCAGTGCTCCAAAAACCCAAGCTGCCAAAAACCGGGCCCCCAGCCACTAGCCGGGGCGCGTCCACGGGGGGCAGCTCCCCATGCTGCACGGGCCAGGGGTAGATGTCTGGGCTGCCCAGGACAATCTGACTGCTGGTGATCTCAGCTGGAAGTCTCCCACACCTCTTCAAGGCATCCAAACGGAACCCAAGAAGGGACACGGGAGGGGAAGTCAGTCTCCCACTCCAAAACAGTGCCAAATGGGTTTCGACGTTGGCTTAGAAAAGGCTACAAGCCCTGATATTCCTTGATTGGTCCTCATAACAGTAAGCAATGGCCACTACAAGCGTGGCTGCCCTTGTCGTGTCTCCCAACTGTCCTGAACAAAGTGACCTAAACTGTCTTGCCGTGAACATGCACAGGCTTGCAACTGTGTCCATCTGTCGCTCTCTGTCGCTCTCTGTCAATACGAACTTTCCTGCTGGCCAATCCACCACGTTTCCCGGCATAGCTTCCATCCTGCCAGTCTTGGCATCGATAGCGAATGATGTGCGGCAACAAAAACTCAAGAAGTCTTGATTGTCCGGGCATCTTCTTGCAAAATGGATGGACAGCGGTGCCTGGGTGTCCTTCGAAGCAACAAATTGCCAAGACAGTAGATTGGTCGCTGTGATGCGGAGCCATGCTCAGAACATGCCATCCCCGCAAAGGGCATCGGAAGGGCCCCTGACGGGAAACTTCGAGCGGCTTCCGTGTCCCCCCTCAGACCACAAACAACTCATACTGCGCCCCAACCTCTGGCTTGTCTCAAATCTGCCCCACCAAAAAAACGAAAACGTGCCCCTTGAGTTTCCCAAGCCAGCAAAAGACAACCCCCCAAAAAAAACAACCACAACACGCGATCCACCTGACGCCCGCAATCTACGTGTCGTCGAGTCTCCGCCCGGCCGCCCACGTCGAAGCCGTAGCTTCGGGCCACCTCCTCGGTCTCGCAGCCGCCCACCAGCACCACCCGCCGTGAGCGTAGGCGCTCCTCGGACGAATGGGACGTGAGTTTTGGTCCAATGGGGGGGCAAAGCTTGCAGAAACCTCAGGGGTATCCCTTGGGATTCAAATTGGGGACTCAAATTGGGACTCGAGCTGGGATTCCTTTGGAACCAGGACCAGTGCTTGGTGGGTATTTTCAAGTGGACAAACTGTTGGCTTCCTTGTGGCAGTGCTTTCACATCCCGAAAGCTCGGTGGTTCAAAATGGGGGGATCTGATTTCCGCATCTGCAGGATAGGCTCGCGTGGTGCTCTCCAAAGAAGGGTGTTCCCCCTAAACGCGATCCACGTTATCTCTAAAAAGGGTCGTACCCCCAGTGAGCGTCAACCCAGGGCCGCTGGATTCCTATTATTTGGTTTGTTCAAAACCAGCCAACTCCCCAAATGGTGGGCCTTAGGAGTAACACGTCAGCTATCTACCCCTAGGCGCTATGGAAAAATAGATAGGCACTGCACCGCTCGATCTGGATTGTTTGCCATGACCAAGAGCCCTGAAACGACTCACCCCCTTGACAAGCACCCGCAACTTTGAATGGCTCAACCCCTCCTTTGCCAAAAAGAAGAAGCCGCCAACCGAAAAGAAAAGAAGAAAAAAAGGAAAGGCTGGCCGCACCGAGGCGCCGCCTGCAGGCGGAAAGGCGTGTGGGACAAGATCACCCGACTCTCGTCCAGCTCCACCTCCAAGAGCTCCGACAACTCCTGAGCCTTCTTGGCCTCTGTGACGCCGCCTCAAACCCACGGAGTGGGAGGAGGAGGTCCCTCGATTTGGCGCTTTGGTTCTTCGCTTCGGTTCTTCGATTTGGCCAAGTAGGCGGAAATGCGGACCCTCCCTTCAAGCTGGCGCAACTCAGCAATCGTAAAATGGGCTCTGGCGGGGTTACTGTAAGCTTCATCGCCCCAAGGAAGCATGGCCAGCCGAAAGCAGCTCGCCCGAGCCCCTCGCCCGCTCCCCCCTACCAACGTGCCAACAAAATTCCCATGGTCACAGAAGATTCCCTTGGCTCACGGAAAGCGGCAACCTAAAAGGATGTGTCCTTTTTTGAGGGGACCCCAAATGGAGGTATTCTGTTTTCATGCGAAATTCACCAGGAAGCCGACTTCAGAGGGGTTCGATATGTTCAGACGCAAAGCCCGAAATCTTCCACGACCCAACCCCCACCTCCGTTGGTCATGAAGATGTACGGCACCGAGGCCTTTTCCAGGTGCCATAGCGCCTTCGACGCATTCGACACCACGTGCTTCGAAGGAGAAGCCGAGGGGGGGGAGAGCCATGGCTCACCGTTGGTTTTGAAACGGCATTGCGTCATACAGCAGTTTGGGTCAGGTTGACATTGCATTGTTTGGGGCTGGAAAGTGGTTGTCGTTTGTTGTTGGGGTTCAAACGCCGATCCACATGGGCGCTCCTCCAAATAGGGCGAACCCCCTAAAATGGCGGCAAGCCTGAACAAACCGAAACACTAGTTTCAGTTGTCGGCTCTCAAAAGTGGGTAGAGGCCTCCAGCTGCATCCAAAGTCAAATAAATGGCCAACCTTTACAAAGGTCCAACCAAAGCTTATGCTAGTGGGGGGGAAACCGTGCAACTGTTTGACTGATTTTACTCGCTCGCCCGCCCGAGTACACCTCGCAACGCGGCAGCTGGTGTTTGCCGTTTGCTTTTGCGCTCGGAAACTCAGCTGATCTGGCTGCAGGGCTGTCGCGGGGAATCTTCCGTCGGCTGCAATGTTATGCAGCGTTTTCCAGCGCGTGTGTGGTGTGTTCAGGTACGACGCAAAGTGTGCAATCGCACATAGAACATTTGGTTCGCACTGAAATAAGGCCCTTCAGGTTCACGCAAGTGTGGACGGCATGGATATGCATCAAGGCTTGGGACCCCCCAAACATATGACAACACGCGGCTTGGGAGTTCCCCAACCTGCTGCAAGTGGCAATAGCCAGCAGCTGAGTTCTGCGGGCAAGAAACCGCATGATGAAGGCCAAACATGCTTCAACTCTGTCTGCTGCGCCGACTGTTTGAATGCACTGTTTTTTTCCCTCATCACACGACTTTTCGGGGCTCAAATGCTTCCGATGTTCACCCCGCAAGTAAGCTTCTGCTGACTGCGCATCACTGCATAGTAGTTCTCTGTTTCTCTCTCGGCTGGAGGCCATTTCCCATGAATTTCAAAGCAAGCAAATCAACAAAAATCAGTTCTCAAAATCCCCTCGCCTCTCGCCTCTCGCCTCTCCCCGCCTCTTTGGCGCCCTGGATGGGCTCACCGCCCCGCCGCACCACCCCATCGATGTCCAGCACCACCCCGCACCTCTCCGCGCCCGAGACGCCTCGCACGTTGCGGAAGCCGCCGCGAAAGCGCGGCGCAAGGCGCAAAGGAGGCAGGCACCGGCGCCACATGGCGCGGCGGGAAAGTGAGGGAAGGTGAGGAAGGTAGGCGATTGTGGTGGATTGTTGCGAGTGTCTCGTTGGAGGCAAATGGTTGAAGCTGGTTTGTTGAATTTGTGGAGCTGAATTTTCAAGATGAGTGGAGATGGTGAAGCTGACCAGCAAACACCTCATCTCAGACTTGTCTGGAGATCTACAGTGTGCGGCAAAGTAATGGACATCTGCAGGATACAAGTTCAAGAAGGCCCGATGTCATTTCCGGGAGCCTTTCGGCAATGGCCTTGCTGCCTTTGGGGCTCATTCCATGACAAGCTGCACGTGAACTGCTCATCTTTCCCAACGTCAGCCCTGAATGCAGCTTGCACATCTTCATATTCGGCCGCGTCTGTAATTATATTTGCTATCATTGCTCCACCAACATCATTGCATGGAATGTGGCACATGTTTGTGTGTCCGCGCGTGACAATTGTCTTGCTGATCGCTGCTTTGTGACATGTCTCGCTTGGACCATAGTGGCAACTCTGCTACAGCTCAGCTTGTATCTTGAAAGGTGCAAGAATGCAAGATGACCGCGGGCAGTCCTGCAGTCCCTTCTGCCACGATCGGTTGATCAATCCCCTGCACGGGCCATGGCACCGCTTTCGCTTTGCCTGCCTCGCCGTCAACATGCTTCTGGGCTGAGCAATAGAAATATCACGATGCTCGCCTATCGAGAGCTAAGCACTTCAGGCGAGTACGAATATATAAAAATCGTAGATTCATGTGTAAGAATACATAGAAATATATACATAGAAAGAGTCATGGGGTGATCGTTGAATCTCCTCCATCTGAAACAAATTCTCGGGGGATCTAGCCATCCACTATCGGCACTTTACCTTCCTAAGCAGTTCATACCCGGGAATGGCACATGCCTGTCACATGCCGCGCAACAAGTGCCGAAAACTCCACCCTGCAACCCTGGAAGCACAAAGCTCAGCTTTTTCCGCTCATGCTCCCAGTAGCCACATCCGCGCCAGCTCAGCGAATAGGCGTGGACTCGGAAAGCGAGTTGGGTGAAGGTGGCACTGCAGGCCCCGGAGCAACCCTGGGAAAGTCGACGTAGAAACGTCCCGCATGAGACTTTGTCAGGTCCAGTCCTCTACGTTTGGGCTTGCCCAACATCTAGCTGGGATGTCTTTTTGTTTTGAGACGCACCCACATAGCGAGGCATAGTCTACTGGTAAAATCCGGGGTACCACCCAGGGAGACACCCTAACATCACAGTAGCCGAGACAAAGAAGCACCGAGCTTGATTGGCTCTTTTCATCAGCGATGCGGTACAAACCATAATATGTCACACGCCTGATCATAGGCGATAGTGAGGTAGCTACACCAGGGAGAACGTAGAAGGCACCATTCCCTTTCAGTGGGCAAGTAAAGGGGATGACTAAACCAAAATGGGGGGACTGTGCCATGTACTTTGAGCCTGTGATGCTTCCGCAGCCCGTGGCTCTCTGTGTCACATGATGCGCACCTCCAAGTGTGTTTGTTGATTCACCGGGACAAGCACAAGTGCCGTGGCATTATGATTCACCCAAATGGCTACTGCAATTACAGTGTGCCGGCCTGAAGTGCGTACCCGAGCCTTCATCAAGATCAACGTTGTTTTGTTTCTCTTGCTGGTTCTCAGCAGGGAAGTTGGAACAACCCCCTACCCTCCCCTGTGGTTTCCTAGAGAATCCCCGCTTCCTTCCCCCGAACGGTGAGCCCGCGTGGACGACTTCCTCTTTGCGCCGCGCCAGGTTCACGAAGCCCGCGGAGTTCGAGAAGTACTTCTCGCCTGGGCGCGAAGGAAGCTCCGTGGGAGGACCCGACAAAATGGGTCCCGTTGTTTTGGATTTCCTCAAATCCAGAAAAAACCAAAGGAAAAAATGGGAAAAATCCCGCTCAAAATAGCCCTCCCAACAAAATGCCGGGCCTTCCCCGTTGCCGTTTTGAAAACCACAAAAAGGGGTGCTCGCAAAGATACCCGTGATGGCAGTTGAGAGAGCACAAGCTTGAGTGGCTCATTCGGTCACAAAACAAGGAACTGAGCACTCTTTGTACGAGCAGGTCGGGCTTCTAGAGGGTGCTACTGGCGCAGAGGTGCATGTCAAGTGCCCTCTCAAACGTTTGGCGTTCTGAGGTGGGGGGTCTCAAGAGGTGTCGGCAATGTACAGGTGGTTTTGTGTCAATCGCATGCAGGGTCAGCGAGGGCACTTTTGAATGTTTGGGAAATGGTGGGCTGAGATGGGGTTGTGTTCACTTTCATGCAAATTTTGCGCAGCGCTATTAAACTCCTGAACGTTCAACGTTCGGGGATGGAGCGGGGCACTGCATTTGGATAACCCACGGCGTGTAGATGCCTGTGGTGAATTCCGATGGTGTTCGCGAAAAGTCAAACGGTTTTGCGACACATTCTCATGTTGAGGGCTTGGCCGGGACAACTGTGCGTGCGGGTGGAGGGCGGGGGGGGCTGTGACTCTCATCTGACGCCTGACGTGCCAACCCTTGGGCTGACATGTTGTTGGAGTAAGCCCTCCGATGTCTTATTGCCCGATCTTGTTTGGCTCGACCAAGCTCAAAATGCGCTGCGGCGTCCATCCGGCTGCTATCCGGCATTGGCCTTTTTGCAGCGTTGTGCTGCAGCATCTGACTGGAGCTTGTCACCTTCATTGCCCGTGCTGCCTGCAGAGTTTATAGTGTTTGCACGCAGCTCGCTTCTTCGACTTGTATCCGCTGCGGCCTTCTGTCCCAGCTGTCGAACTCGTCTGCAAGGTCTACTCTTCTCACGCGTTCGCAAGGGCGTCGTACTGGCAGTGTGTGAGTTCCGCAGCTTGTCTGCACACTGTTTCCGAATCGCAGTGTCCACGCAGCAACTGCCGTTGCGGCGAAACGCATTGCAAACGGAGGGTCGGCGAGCTCAGAATAACCACGGCCGTCTACACGCCGTGTACTTAGTTTGCGTATATGTGTTGTGCGTGCCGACTCTCTATTTCAAGAAACGGTCGAGCTCGCGCTGCTTCCAGTTTTGACCTGTTCGCACACAGCCCACACATATCCATCTTTCTGTTCGGCTAAGCACGTCGTCAGGAGTAGACTCACGAGTTTGATAAGTCATCCCCTACCCTGTTGCCAAGTTTTGTCTGCAGTTGTCTGCTGATTGCCCGAGGAAGACAAGTGTCATGGAAAGTATGACCTACGGTGTGGCTACAGAGTCTTCCAGGAACGGCAAGGGCGACGACACATTGACGCCACTTCTGATTTCAGAAGAAACACACAAGCATAGCGACTACATGGCCCACACTGAACATGGGATTAATGGCAAGGATCCCCCTTGTTTGGATAGTGTGCACAAAAGCCGACAGAAAACCCGCCATTTGTGCGAGGAAGGCTATTTGTCTGTCTGCGTTTGTCCGGTTCAGGATTTCGGGTCTGTGATTCACTTGGCTGGGGCTTTGGAGACCCGATCCGTTCCAATCGCCGCTATCCAATGATCCAGGAGCCCGCGCCCACGTCTGGCGCCTTGCGCTGGGCGCTGGGGTTCGCCTCGCGGTTGCATTGCACGTGCATGAATCCAACGCCCACTTTCACCCATCGAAACTGAAGCGTTTCAAGTGTTCACCTATTTGAAGCATTTGAAACCGAGGCCAACGAAATACGGGAGCAGGATCTCCTCGATATGGCAATGTGAAAACGTGAACAAAAAAAACAGCCAGCAACAAAACAGGGGACTGAGGGGACTCATTTGTTGGATTGTGGTCTTCTCCCCAAATGGGTGAGGAATTCCAAAAAAAGCAGAGCTTCGGTTGAAAAAATGTCATGCCCAAATGGATCGCAGCTCTATGATTCACACACCTGAAATCAGGAATCTGCAGAATCACCAGCAAGGAGCCTTCATCATGGATTGCCCAGACCCAGTTGTGGAGGACATCTCCTTTGTGGTCTTGAATCTTCAAGAGAGTACAATGCAAACTTCCGCAAGGTAAGCATGACAGGAGCTGCGGCAAGGCTTCAGGTCCGCCCTGCTTTCCGAATAGTTGCTGCAAGTGACCTTCAGGCACGCATGTTCTCTCACTTCATGCTGAGATAGTTGATGTATGTGGTTGACCCAAGTCCACATCAAATATCCAGTGTTTCCTCTCCCGAACCGCACAAACATCTGCACAAAGGATCTGCCTGGCACTGATCCTTCTGTTGCACGTGCTTGACACAACATAAGGACTCCCTCGAAAGGAGTGGTTTCCTTTGGTTTCCCTTTAAACCCATCCCAAAGAAAGGTCACGAAAAGAACCACCCCCACATTGCCGCCAAGTCATCTGATCTAAAACCGAACACCCTAACCGCCACCTCTTAGAAAAGCCACAAACAGGTTGTTTAAACAACCGTGGCAAATGAGTGAGTGGGTACTGTAGCTCCATAGACTGGCCGGTTTAACTGAACCAAAGAAGTGTGCCATGGTCAAAACTCCTTAAGGCCATGGTTCGATATTACAATGGCCCCTCAAAACCAGGAATGGGTGCATCTTCTTTCGGCGACGCCCCAAAATGGGTGGTTGTTTGCTTTTCGCCTCCCCTTAAAGCCATAACAAGGACTAGGTCCTCCAGTGGAGAGGTTAGAATAAGGGTATCCTTTTTTCTGCAGTCTTTTTAGTAGGGGAACCCCTCCAAAAAAAAGCAAAAAAGCACTACTGGCAGACCTAGAACACATGCCCCACTTCACCGCTGCGCCCGCGAGAGCCCTTCGCGCCAGCTCGATGCCCTGCACCGGCGTGAAGGCCAGGGAACTGCTGAGACCACTCTCGTTGCCTGAAGCGAAGGCGTATCCCGGGGTGACTTCCCACGACTCATATGGAACCCCCTAACCCCCCCTCCCCGCCAAGGAGTCTCCAACCCGATCATGAACCAGCAACCTTCTCTCTCCAACAATCTTGCAAGACCTTTCCCTCTTCAAGACCCCTTTGCCATTTGCCCATTCCCGGTTCTTCCTTTTGGCAGCACCCGCGGTTTCGCCGGACCA